TTCGACGATACGAGATTCGACGCTACGCAGCACGCCCGGCCTGACCCTCTTAAAGCTATATATTTTTGTATTTTTGTTTTGTTTTTTGACTATCCTAGTTGCTTACTGTCTAGTACCTAACGTCAACATTGCCCCCCACCTTTTTGCCTGTCCATGAAAGCATCTAGTTTCTTCTTAAAGATAGTCACAGAAGGGGCAGCCACTACTTCGTCATCTAACGCATTCCACGCGTTCATCATTCTGCAAGTAAAGAATTCCTGTCTCGACCTGTTGAAAGTCGAACACTTTCCAGAAATTGCTGATCTTTACTACCTTATACCTTCCCAAGTAGCCATTTTGATCCAAAATAAATCCATCGGACATACCCTCATGGACACTTGGACATCCAATGTACAGGGTCTTTCTAAAGTCGCGCAAACCTATATATAAACAAGTGCTGTTGCATGTTTCTGTTGAAATATATGCACAAAATCTCTTGCATGACGTATTGTTGGTCCCGTGTTTTTCACAGAAACTGGGAATGCTGAACATTTATCAACACATCATTCAGCAATATATCGCCATGATAGAAATTGACGAACGTGATTCGTGCTTTCAACTAGACGAAGCAACCGCTCATAAGCAAGAATCTCTGGTCTCCAGACCTCACTATTTTCTATTACCTTAACGAAAGAGTATGCGCTAACAATCCCAGAGACTTGGAAACGTTGAAGCATGACATTGTACAGGCCATTGCCCGTATTACTCGTGCGACCTTACACTATGTTGAACGTGAACATGCACAAGCGTGTCGTAATGTGCTTGCGGGAACGCGATAGTCACTTCCAAAACTTGCTATTACACTTTTTTTCATAGGTAAGATGTGTTCCTTCTATATTAAGCCAGTTTTGATTAATTCATCTTAATATAAGTTGCTCAAAAACATTTTATATAATGGGTTGCGTGACTTTTGAACGACCCTGTATATCCTCCTCAGACATCTACTGGATGACTAAATGTTCGTCCAAGGATACTCCTTGGACACGTCCATTGGATGGCCTATTGGATGTCCGTTTTTTTCTTTGTCCATTGGAGATTCCCAATGGAAAGCTATCGGATGACCATTGAGGAATGCAGCAATAGCAAACCCCATCTCCGAGTAGGAATGGAGCTAAATTTGCATGCTAATTAGTATTCGTAGCACGGGAGAGGAGTACTTTCTGAGATTACTGAGATTCCGCCCACTCACGTTTCCGAAGAGAAATAGAAGAGAAGCGCTTAGATGAAAAGTCAGGTATTACTGAGATGATATTCTCATCTTCCCATCCTAATCAATCAATCAAGAGTCTGTTTCCGGTAGTGAAGGTCGTCGTAAGATTTCTTTGATGAGGGGAACCACTCTCTCTCCCTCTATGTAATATGCAAGAATTGCCCGGAGTCTTCTTGAGCTATGCTACGTCTCTCAACAAATGAACTAATTGGAATGACTTCCTTCCTTCGGCTTGTACATGGAAAATGATCGAGTAGAGAATGAGAGCTTCCGCAGAACAATTCATTAGCATTAAGGAAATCAGGAGGCATACAGTAGTGGGTTCATTGCCACCTCGCTTAAATTGTGGGAACTTCATGTTTATTGAATAAACTGCTAGATGTCGGGTCAGATGGAGGTCCTCAATGGGGAGAGGACTACAAAGGACATCCACGGGTAGAACCCAAGAGGATGTCCTTGGATGTTCCTTTGCTGAACGTCCAATGGACGTCCAAAGATGGACTGACATAATTTCGTTCCTAATGTTGAATACGTGAAATAATGCACTGGTCAAAGGATAACTGGTCACACTGTCCATATAATGATTGAAGTTACTGGATTTCGACCTTAGATGAGACATTTGAGTTTAAAAATTCAAAAATAGAAATCCCAAGATCGGATGTTCGTAACGTCATTCCAAAAACCATCATTCAATAAAATGGAAATAATTAGATTAGTTCGATGTAGTTAGTTAGATGATTCTGCTCGGATGAAGCTCAGAATGCATGAGAAGACATCGATCCATGGCGATGACGTCCTATGTACATCCATAGGACGACCGCTTCTGGACTTATACCCAACTCTGGATGACTGGACTGTCCATGGACGAGTTTTGGATCAATCATGGCTACTTGGGATACATCAATATAAAGGTATGGGTGGAAGTACCAAACGAAAGCTTTCACCGAGGCGAACACACTCCTCAGTTGCATTAGGGTATCCTCATGTATTCATAAGTTATCGTGAAGAAGTCAAACGTCAACCTTGTTTGCCCAAGACCAGGGGCCTGTTCCTCGCCTCTGCTAAACTTAAATCTAAATCTAAATCTAAACCTAAAAGCAGTCTAAAAGCAAAAAGTCTATTCTTCGCCTTGACCCTTTAGACTAAGATTTAGCCAAAAATTTAGATTTAGATAGATTTAGTTTAGCACAGGCGAGGGACGGGCCCCAGGTCACCGTTGCTTCGTTGCCGTTTGTTTTTTTTTTTTGGGGGGGGGGGGGCATGCCCCCCCCCCCCTTTCAAGAAAATAAACTAAAAAAAGAAGGAAAAGCCTCATTAAATGCATGATGACAGTATCCCTGAGTTCCTGTGTCCCCCTCCACTTTTTCCATGCACGCTACGCTTATGGTTGCAGGTGTAGCACGTGGAAGGAAGAGATTCGTCACGTTCCAACTGTCATGGCCGCTCGAGACCTCACCGGTTTCTGTCTCTAGTTGCCGGTACGTCCCAGAGAATCACAGGAATCGTAGTTATCTGCTTCTCTGAGGAAGATTCTTGAACCGCTAAGCCTAATATGTTGTCTTTACTACATTTTGGGCTAGTTAACGGTACGCTGTAAAGAAGCTAGGCCTACTTAAATGCGTTGTCAAAGGCCGTTTTGAAGAAGCGTTCCTATGGGCATACTTAACGTCAGGCTCACAGGTATGGCTCGCTATATGCACTCCCCTTTCACTTCTCTGTAGGCCAGCTGGCTTTGCCTCCTTTTGTGTCCAGAGTGCACATAACGTGCACAGTCAATGCTTAAACCAACTCCGTTGTGTCCAGTGTAAAATACCAATTGGAAGCAGCCACATTTGAACCACAACTGCGAAGTTAGACCCATTCAAGCTCGGAAACGGCTGGAAAGTAAAGTGAGATCCGAAGTGGTTCCTTGCTGCGATATCTCAGATGAATCAGGAATGGTTTTGTCAACTCTTCTTGCTGAAGTTTGATCTATGGAAGCAGCTGAATTTCAACTGTAAATCTAGCCATATTTTTGCTAGAGGATTCTCTATCAAAATTCAAGCTGAAAATTTCTACCTGAAACAGCTGCAGTCTAGTTGGAAAATATCAATTGTAAAACAGCTGGCATCAAGCATTTTTCAGCTCTTTGTTACCTGAAAGAGTGTGAGTTTATAGCTTTGGTCCATCTGGAAAACTCCAGTTGGGATTTTAAACTGGGTTCACTCCAACGAGTTTCATTGGTAGTTCTTCTCAATGATGGTGTCCTCATATTTTGGCATATTTACTAATGTCTTATTTCCATTTCCATCCCATTTCCACAAACTCACTTAAATCTTGTGCTTGTGGGACCTGTTCCATACACACCATGTGCACTCCTCTTCCCATCAACCCCATTTCACCCAGGGAGTTGCATATCCCAGATATAACACTGTTTTTTGAATTGAATTCTTACCTCCCCATAGGACCACTTCCATCGACTGCATGTTGTGACATCTTCCATACACTGTTTCCGGATTGAATTCGTACCATCCCTCTATAGTGGTGAATGAAGGAAACACATTTCCAGAGGTCTCGCCTCAGCAGGCAATAGCCAAAACCACCCATGTGTAGGATGTCACTTCCTGCAATCAATGGAAGCACTCCTATAGGGAGTATGAATTCAATCTGGAAACAGTGTATTTGTGGTTATGTCTATCATCTGATATAATGGAATTTTTAAAGTTTTTTTGTCTCCATTCTCCCCTATAGGGGAGGGTACAAATTCAATCCAAAAACAGTGTATTTGGGTAGCCTTATGGTTCTTTGGGGGCAGTGACAGCAGCAGTCAGAATTGTAGAGACATCTCTTGAGCCATAGGACACCAACCCTATGCATGTTCCATGCTATCTTTATCTGATGCTTGCACCTTGTAACCTTTTTGAGACTAAGTCCAAAATGTAACATTTTTTGGACATATGGTCTATACATGCATGCAGATGCCATATTCCTCTGGAGCTCTCTTACCTTTCAATTAAACATGTTCAAACCTTTCTTCTCTCATAACTGGCAAGATCTGAGGCATGAAATAAAATAAAGCCTCCTTTAGATGACTATTCATAGGATTGAAGAAGGGGTGCACACTATGCACAGTAACCCTAAAAATGAATTAAATTCATGTTTAGGATAGAACTCTGGTATTTAACAAGTGTGGAACTTCTGTTGTTTTTCAGTCTAGATTTGTTAGAGCATGGACTTTGAAAGGAAATGAAGTGCTAGTAGTGTGAACATAGACTCAGAGTTGACCATGGAGGGGAGCAAAATGATGTCTCAGCTTGTTGTCATTGCTTGTTGTGTGGCAATGGTTCAGCTTAGCCTTGGTGAAAACCAATATCTGTCTGGAGTGGTCATAAGTGAGGTAAAGCGTACAATTGACCTCTCTTCTCCTGTTGTGAAAATTTCCCTGGAGTTTATGGTGAGAAATGAAGGCAAGAACCCACTGATGAAGTTCCCGGTTTCACCAGAAGTAGAGGAGAATCATGTTGCATTCATTGAAGCTGCTCAAGGAGATGACTCCCTCATTGTCCATCATCCCAAGGAAAGGGGTTCAGAGTCTTTCTATATTTTGGATCTCAAGAAACCAGTTCAGCCAGGAGATAAAGTGAAAGTCAGTCTTTTACTACTCATTCTTTTTTATATGTTAATACATGTTTTCATATCCATTCCTTCCAAATTTCAGACTTTTATTAGGGAATTACTACCTGTAGTGCTTTACTTTGTGTGATGCAGGTGAATGTTAACATGGTGTTGAGCCATGTGCTGGAGCCTTTGCCTGCTGAGATCAAACAGACAGAGAAGCAACTTCTTCAGTGGAAGGGAAATGCTTACATCTATCATCCATGTCAAGTGGAAACCCAGACCACAAAGTATATCCTGCCCAGTAGTCAGATTGAGGGATATTCACGAGTGAAGCCTGTCTCTTCTTCTGACTCCACCATCAACTATGGACCCTATGAAAATGTTCCTTCTCTATCCAAGGTAACTTCAGATTCAAATTTATTTCTCTTGCAAAGGCAGAAAAGATCGGGTAATTACCAAGACTAATTGGTCTTAATCACATGAAGTATTAAACACCAAATGAGTTGTTTCCTATTGCTCTTCTTCAGTTGAGAAATGTTTCAACCTTTCCCCCATGACTGCAAAAATTGGCAGCAAATGATTTTGCAGGGATCCATGAAAAACATTTATGCATATCTAAGTCTATGCTTTTTTCCTTGCAATTTGTATGTATTTGAAGTTGAGAACTACATAACAAATTTCATCTGGTGATTTAAAAAAAGCCCAACTTTTTTCTATGGGAGCAGGTTATATTTGTATATTCAATAAAAAATGGTAAGATATTGATACATATACAAGGTGTTGAGATGATTGGCTTTTTCAGCATCATTCTATGAGCCATGCATTGTTACATTACACATTTTATAGTGTTAAAACCTGAAGATTAATTTAGAGGAAAGTTTTTTTTTTGTTTTCTAACGGGAAATGTCAATGGCAGTTGAATGGCTGGGAAAGTTCTGAGAGTGGATATTAAAAATAGACTTATGTACAGTTATGGTTCCTGCCTGCATTCTGGCAACTTGAAAGGAAAAGTTTATTTTAACTCCAAAGTTTAAATAAGGACCAGCCTAGGATTCATATCACAAAAAAACTGGATTCAAATTGCTTACAGATGAAGCCTGAAGAAGTTTAGCTGTTTTTCTCAAAGAGCACCTTTTGCACAATTCTTTTTTCCAGATAATTTCTCAATTACTCCCTAAGATGTTTCAATATTGTTTTTGGGGGTTTCAAGGATAATTTTTTAGAGTTGTTTATTTGATTTTGATGAAGTTTGTGGTATATATTCATTGACAAGGAGCCAGATAGCTTATTTCATAAATATGCTCTCCAAATGCTCACAATTTTGAGTATGAATAAAGTGTTGCAATACATTGAAGGGCAGAAGTTGTACCAAGTGCTGAATGAAACAGTTGCATTTTGCAATTTTGTTAGTGATAGTCACCATGTGTTGAAGTAAATATTTTTATAAGGCCATACAATTCATTGGGATTTCTATGAGGGAAATGCCAGATTCAAAATTTTAGATGCTCAAATAATATGTTTATGATGGGATGCTAGAGAACTTGGCAAGTGAAAATGAGAGGGAATAAAAATGAGGGAGTCATTGGAGGCAAGACCCACCTTCAGAAGACCCTTTCTTCATTTTTTATTTCCTCTGAAAATAAGGCCAATTCATCTCTCATGATTGGTGGTGCTGAACCAGGAGGAGGGCAGGACCATTGCAATTACTGATAAAATCAACTGTACCTCCAACTATTAAGAGTGACATAGATACAACTTGACAGTCTTAATTTTAATTCCTTCTGACCTCATTGAACAGGGTGAACCAGTGATGATCCATTATGAGTATACCCAAGCTGTGATGACAGTGACATCCATGACAAGGACCATTGAGGTTTCTCATTGGGGGAACATTGCAGTAGAGGAAGTCATTGACATTCTCAACACAGGAGCTCGTCTGAAGGGTCCATTCTCCCGACCTGATCTGCAAAAGGGACTCGTGCGTGCTGCTCACCTGGTTGCCTTCAAGGTCAGCTCCCATTGTGAATTGGTCAATGTACTACATGAGAAGACAATGAATTTCACTGGCTGAAGTAGGATGATGTCTGATACTTATATGTATTGTAGACTGTGTTGCCAGCATCTTCAAGACATGTGTATTATCGGGATGAGATTGGGAACATTTCTACATCTCACCTGCGGGAATTAGAAGACTCTGTGGAAGTGATTCTTAGACCACGATTCCCTCTCTTTGGTGGCTGGAAGACCCACTATCTCCTTGGTTATAGTGTCCCATCTTATGAATACCTCTTCACTTCAGGTCTCTCATTCCTTTTTCATGAGTGAAACCTAACTGATGGCTATAAATGGGATCCAGGCTCACTTTACTCATTCCAGGAGAGGAATTTGTGCTGGAGATGCGACTCTTGGACCATGTTTTTGATGATGTGGTGGTGGATGACTTGAAGGTGGTTGTAATATTGCCAGAGGGGTCAAGAGTGACAGAGATTATCACCCCGTATGATGCATCTATCCTTCCTGAATCCCTCACTTTCACATACCTAGACACTGAAGGCCGACCAACAATTGCCATCCACAAGTCAAATTTGGTTGAGAACCATATCCAGAATTTCCAGGTCTCAATTTTTCTGGAAATGTCTGAAGCCTGATTAGGATAAAAACTTCTCAAATGGCGTTTTTTTGCTTTCAACAGGTGCATTACACCTTCCCACGCTGGCGGTTGGCTGTTGAGCCTTTTCTGGTGGTGATAGCATTCTATCTCCTCTTTCTGGTTGTCATCATCTATGTGCGCTTGGACTTTCGCATCACCAAGGTCAGACATGGGACTAGAATCTTTCTCCATGATGGATGACTCTAGTGATAGACAGATACCCCTCATGATGACTTGGGCTCTTAATGTCTGTACCACAAGTCTCTCTGTCCTATTCAGTCTGAGGAAAGCTGCAACAACCCTTTTTCTTACCATCAGAAGAGGGAGTAATTATTTGTGACACATCAGACCACCAAAGCTGTTGATTATTGACACATTCTTTCCATGAAGAGCTTATTTTTTATATCATACCTGCCATGAATGTACCCATATCCAGCCTTTTGGCATATCCTCTTGTCCATGATTAACAGTATGAAGAAAAGTCTATGCTTCACCTATTTTTGGTGTTCTGGTCCATGAAGTCCAAGAATTCATGTCACTATTTCCAAATGAATGAGAATGTCATTTTTTAGCATCCAAATTAAATTTGCAAAAAGATTTTAGACATGGCATTCAATGAATTTAATTTATTCCTTTTCCACAGGACCAGAAATACATCAGTTTTGAATTAATATTTCCTAAAATAACTGCCAATAGTTTAGACATCTTGAAAGGAGTATTGAATCTCCAAAGAAAAGCTCCAAATATTCCTGTAGATTTTGGAATGCACATGAATGCACTTTACTGACACAATCAACAGGTGATTATGTCTTCTAGTGACTGCCATTGAAGTGGGAAATATTATGGACTTTTATAATATCACTATTCTTTGTGAGAAAAAAGGGTTGTTGCAATTATATTTTGAGCTGAATGCTTACAGTGGCCATCATTATTGTCCTGACTGGAAATGGAGAGGTAACAGTCAATAGAAAATTTTGTTTTTTTGCAAGGCTAGTTGTCTCATTGAGTTTTGTTAGATGGGAAGAAGTTTCAATAGTAATGAATTAAATTTAATGGGGGGCTACAGTACGGTATCACAGGCATGCCACTAGGGTGTTGCAAGTGATATAAAATATTAAAAATATGTCCATTCTGTGTCATTAATGTTCAGGGTGTCAAGGAAGTTATGCATTATAAGGATATAGTGAAATTTGTTTATTTTCCTTTCTTTCAGGTTTTAGTGGTACAAGAAATTGAAACTTGATCTGTCCATGTTGGTTTTTTTTTTATCATGGAGACATTTTGAAATGACAGTCTTTCTGGTTTGGCTGCAGTCTAAAAAATCTTTTCTGCCAGAAGCATTTCCAATTGACTTTGCTGTGTGCAAAACAGGTCTGCCCATTGCCTAGTCCTGAACAGCACCCATTCAGAATGTTTGATCAAATGAACTGCAATTTCCTTACGATGCTTGAATTTCTGAACACCCTTTTATATGTGGTCTGTGGCCTGTGGGTCCCCACTTTAGCCACACTTGTTATAGGCTTATGTGCCAGAAGGGGAATGATCTATGGTGACCCCCTAACTTTATTTGACTTTGCAAAAGTTGCTATAATCAGTGTGCTTTACCTTGTGCCTTATGATAGGATGATGTATCAGAAGCCCGGATGAGAGCCAGTGGATATTGTGAGCAGATAGCAAATCTGGAAGAAAAGAGAGAAGATGTTTATCAACAAATTGAGGCTGCCATTCAAACTCTAAAGACTTCCAAGGATGTCAGTGCCTTCCAGGCCTCTGTAAGTAAACATGATATTTCTTCATTCAGGTCTGTTTGATTCAAACACGGGCCCCCATACATATCTTCACTCTCTATTTACTCAGATGAAAAATCTGAACAATGAGCATCGAATTGTGACCCAGAACATCACAGACCTGATAGGGAAAGTGAAGGCAGATTCTCCAGATGCAGTTGATCGACTTTCAGAATTGCAGCAGTTGGACAAGTGAGTCCCTAAACCATTCTGACATTTGTCATGCCTTTACCTATTGTCCTCAGGTTTTGTAATTAAAAATGGATATTACCTGTGTTTCTGAAATCCAGACAGATGAAGGAGCTGTTGACTCAGCAGAGCCAACTGGCAGAGCGTCTCTTGGCTGGGAAGATGAATAAACAGGCATACATGGATGCAGATGCAGCAAACAGTAGGAAGAAGGAGCAAGTTATGGAACGCCTCAGAGCCCTCCTCCTCACTCTCTAATGCTCCCTTCTATCTGAACCCCATGGTTGCGATCTCTTCTCTTTCATTCCCTCTTATTCTTCTTCCTCCCATCCTGTGTGAAGTTTCCAACAGCTTGCATCATAATTGGTGGGAAACTGAAAATTTGGGTTTCCTCAGGCTTCAATTTGTTTTTGTTGTTGCACCTTAGTCTTTATCAAAAATGATTGGAAAATGAAATCTGGGAGTGACTGATATTTTGCCTTTTTCTCTGACAGCTGCACCCTCTTCCCATTGATCCTACTGTTGTTGAGCAAAAAGGGCTTAAGACCTACTATGATTACAAGCATCCCAATTCTTTAACTGGATTATATTGCAATATATTCATGGGCATGCTAAGCAAGTTCAAGCTATATTCATACTCTTTTTTTTGTACATGAACTGAGGTGAAAGCAACATTCAGGTTGCACAGCGTGATTTACCGCCACGTCGACCGCTTCACAAGTGACAGATTTGAGGAGAAGAAAAAGAAAGGAAAATTGCTCTATTTTCTTTGATACCCAAAACTCTGCGGAAATTTTTTATTTTAAAACTCAATTGCAGACAAAAAGGGGTTTTCTGTTGAAATTTTTATTTGAACTCACCAAGAGCTACTTTTCATCTATTGGTAATTTTGCTGCAACTTAAGAAATTTCCTATGCTCTGCAGAGCAAAAAACTTAATTCCTATGTAGTCAGGTCCAACCTGATACGTTTGCATCCTCGCGCTTTGTCAGGGCCTACTGAGAAGAATAATGTCGTCATTGAAAGAGAAAGGAGGGGCTCTCATGCGTATGGGTTGTAGGAATAGCATTCATATCCCTGGGGGACAGAAATTCATAGTGTGTCCACATTGAATCATAGATGGATTCTCTAAGCAGCAAACTATTAGGTAATAGAATAAGTTTTTGTCCGCTAGGTGTCGTTATCACCCACGCATGCGCCGTACCCATGTTATTACGCAGTCGGTAATAAAGTACGATCGTGTCCATGCAAGAGAAAGCGCATTTTAGTAATAAAATTGTATGTTTCTTTTGTGGACATCCTGTACAGGGTGGCCCACAATTGCCTCCCAAAAGTAAAGGCTTATTACCTAAGAGGTAAACATCCAATTTCAATTATATAAGACTCAAACGATAGCCAAGTCAATATATTTTCATTGTAAAAAGTTTCAGTATTACATGAGAAACTTTAGCAAAGTTACATCATTACAAACGAAAGCGGCCAAATCATTAGTGTTCAATGTGACTTCGCAATTTTCAATGACTTGGTGCAGTCTCTCTTTGAATGCCAGCAGAATTCTTTCAATAGTCTCTAGGCCTACTGTGGCGAAGGCATCTTTAATGGCCTGTTTCAGCATATCTAGGTTGTCATAGGTCCGCCGATGTATCTCTTCAGGTTCAGATACCTCTTATGAATTGCCTTCATGATCTCATCAGGAACTGAGCCATTTGGACCCAAACTGAAGAAATTTCCAAATTTTCCCCGCACAAATTTGCTCTCTTCAATTTATCAAACCAAATGGCAATATTGGTCTTCTGCAGGATGCTGAGGTCACCCATAACAAAGACAATCCCTCGCGTTGCAGGAAAAACCCACGAATTAATTGCGACTTTCAGAAAGTATTATATTTGAAGTATGATATTTAAAGGCTTTAGTTGCACGATATGGGTACTTTCATTTGTCATGGTATAACTTTGTTCTATTTTTTTTATGGAATGCTAAAAATTTCCACGGTAAAAATGATTGAATTGGCTATCGTTTGAGTCATATATAATTGAAATTGGATGTATACTTCTTGAATAATGAGTTTTTGTGAACCATTCTGTACATCTCACTGAGGCTCCAACCATAGGCTGCGATTCATAGGGGCTTAGGGGGCTCGAGCCCCCCCAAATTTCTCAACAAATCGCCGCCTATAGCTCCAACAGAGCGCTTTTGTTAAGAAAAGTACTCCATCCTGACATAACGAAAACAACGCTTTTTTTCAACTTCAGCTATCAACTTTGAGCACTGGTGCGGTCATTCCCACGCAGTTACTCACCAGTGGGGGCATGAACGTTATAGCAGGCAAGGATGAAATTGTTCGTTATAACCACGAGTTACAACTGCGACTCCATTCTGGAGATGTCGCTCGTTCTCGTTAAACCCACGGGCCATAACAGGATCCCATGCGCAGAACTAAGTTTGGTCGACGTGACGGGGAAGATTCAGCTCATGCTTGATGCCTCATATCTATTTTACAGGCAAGGAGAACTACGTTCCTCAATGCTGATATGGGCTGACGAATGTATCTTTCACTTATTCTTATTATCTCTCATTCCCTTCAAAGGGGAAAAGAAGGTGAACCCAGGCCGGCACATTTATTGCAGTGGTCCCAATTTCGCGTTCAACCTTTCAGTGCCAGCGTCGATCATATTGATGCGCGCCTTCTCTGCCTAAATTGCCAGCGTTGATCTGATCGACGCACCGGTTTTGATCGTTCGGTCGGTTCGTAATATACTCATTGCCCAAAAAAGCACGACCAAGAGGGAGTTAAGCGATCTTGATGAAACTTGGAACATAAGTTCATATTAGCATACCATGAAATCGATTAGAGTTACAAGTGTGTGGGATGAATATTCTCAGAGAAAACATGCTTAACCATCCAATTTCAATAGCGGCTGTGCCAAAATGAGATCTCTGAAGGCAATTTCAACAAGTTATTGGAGTGATTCATCGATGTAGTCTAATTGGCATGCATATATTAGCTTCAGACATCTGGCTGATATATGTATCAAGTTGATGCATGGGAAGCGCCGCAATTACCTTCCATGGATCAAACCCTAAAAACTTGTTGAAATTGCCTCCAGAGATCTCATTTTGGCACTGCCTCGCAATCAGTCGCAGTCTCAACAACCCTATAGTGTAGTGGCCTGAAGGGGAGAGAAGAAACAGGCATCGCCCTCTTCCCAAATTCCTCGAGCATTCGGCTAGTTTTCTTTGCATTGCCTCATCTCACGACCCCGAAACTTCGCTCGATTTTTCTGCGAATCTTTATAAGTTTTTCTGCCACGTTTCATTTGTAATAATCTTAATGATCGTTTCGGGCGATTCGAATGACCCAGTACTTTTCCCCTTCAAATAACTTACGTTGGAGGATGATTGAGTAATCTCCCCTCTGACAAGTCCTTGAGAGCCAGAGTGAGAACCGAACGAAAGAGGAAATAACGGATAAAACATGGAAGTGAATGTGCCGCATCGAAAAGGAGAAAGAGAGGGGGAGTGGGCGGTATGATTCGAGAGTCTCATTTCCCTCTTGATTCCTCTAACAATATGGGACAGGACGAAGTGGTAACCTTTCTGGAGGGTGGCCAAAACTCCTGGGAAGCACGTCCCGATATAATGTTCATTGGAGAAGCGAAACAAGAAAACGAAAGGAGCAGGTACCAGAGTTTCTCTTATTTTCCTTTCAACATTGGAAAAAAAAAAACAGGACGATAGGGGATACCAGGGAGGGATCATTACTACTTCATGCCATGTAACTGTGGCATCTACAAGAAACAGTGGTATGCCAGTACTCTCATCGTATTTCAATTCCATGAACTGTGCTTGCTACCATGTCTTTCTGCTTTCCTACAGTACACTTCACCCTCACCCCTCTCCTCCCTCTTTTCTCTCTCCCCCATCAACATGGCAGACTCCGATCGTGCTTGAATTTAATCCTACTTTAAAATCCTAAATGCTTCTGGAAATGATAGGGTCACTTTCCTTTACCCAGCGACAAAATCGCGGGTTTCTGGTGGGGAAGAGTCAAGTGTAGAGCTTCGCCTTTCTGCACTGGAGTTTTGCACTTTCTCACAAAATGCTTCGGCGTTGGTATTGAAGTGAGAAATACCACCTTGGGATCCCATTGAGAATGATGAAGTCACCAATTTTTCATTTATTTATTTTCTATTTCGGCAGATGTATCTGCTATCTTTATCATTCGACACCAATAGAAATCATATCTCCCACAATAAAAGTGAAATAGAGTTCTTTCCGGGTTTCATTTGGAACGTCCTCGTACTCATGGAAGAAAGTGAGATACATGAAACATTATATCCCCAAGAATTTTGGAAGTTTGAGGGGTAAATATTTTATTGAGACACAAATATGTCAATAATTGTACATGGCGCACAACCCGCTCCTTCCCATGCCCGACGATGCATCCTCGAATCGGGTTTGAATGCTATGTGACATGGTGCTTTTTCCAATTCATTCCTCCGCATAAGTACGATGAGAAAAGAATGCGGAAAACTGGAGGAGGTTCGACAACACGAAGACACTACTCGGCCAGGCCGAGTTGCTCCAAACGAGGCACTCCCGATCGTCTGCGTACGCCGTACTCTGACTCCGAAATCATCTTTCCTTGCATTTTGAGCCACGATCTCACGCGATTTTTATTAGACACCGAAGCGGTTCGGCAATCTCCAGAATTAAGACGTATTTCGTCTCGTAAGAGAAAATTCAAGAAGCATCGTCGACGAAAAATCGAAGTATCATTTCATTGCATATCATTGTATCGGTACATTGCAGCAAAACGGTTCAAAATTTTTCAAAATTTCCAAAACTTTGTTCACCAAGAGAAAAAGAAGGCACATCACGAAATGGGGATCTGTGTTTTCATATGTCGTTAAAGGATATTTATCTCTTTGACCAGCCGATCCACAGCTGGTTCCACCCCTTTCAGGTCTTTTAGCTTTGTCTTTTGCACACGTTTCGAGTCGTTCACGGAGGTGTCTGAGAACACGATCCTCGCCGTCGGAAGGAAAGATGAACAGCGAGAGAAAGAGGAGAGAGGCAAGGGGGAACTGCATTTTCACTCCGTACAGCTTTACAGCTCCGTCAAGGCCGGCTCCATTATGGACGAACTGAAAAACATCACATCCAGACTACAGTGGATATCCAAGTTGTGTCGTGTGTCCACTCATTTTAACACTAAGATGACACGCAATGTATTATATGTTCGCGAACTCGAACTGAAAGGTACCTCTCCTCGACTCGAGCGTTTTGCTACCGTATCCAAAACAACAAAAGGAGTCAGAACGATCCAAGAAGAGAGACATTCGAACCAGTACCGGTACCGTTAGGTTACCGTCCGCTCGTAGGAGAGAAATACTCACTGATGGCTGGCGATCGGCGAATAGGCGGGTTGGGAGGAAGACTGCGTTTGCGAGGATCTGCGAGGGACGCTTTCTCGTCGATACACCTCCACGTCGTCCGCCTCGAATGCGGGATTATCGTGAAAACCTGGAAGCAAGATTCACAACCGGTTACCTTGCTAAGTGGAAAAACCTATCCTATTTCGTCCGGGTACTGACTCTGCGTCTGGATCTGTCGGTCGAATGGATCGGAGAAGCCCATGCTCTCGGGCTCGTATTGGTAGTAGACACCAGGATCATCTATCCCCGGTTGCATCTTCTGGAACGGGAGATTATTCTTCATCGTCGGGTCCGATTTTGTCGTGTCCTCGTATTCTTCGTGCTTCCTGTGCATCCATCATGTCGATAAGACTCCGTTAACCTTTCGTGCATGAATTTTTAAAGCTAAACAATAATTTGCCTTTTTTTGTTTCATGCTTTTTAAACATGAAACTAAAGAATGCCACCTTAAAAGGTGGTACTCTGCCGTGGTATTCGCATGTTTCACCGTTATGTGGCAACACAGAATAAATAATGTGCCCTGGAGTGGACTGCATGAATCAAAAGTTTCGAGGCATGCGTAGCGCTGCTAAAAAGCCATCATCAGAACCAAAATGATAGCCTGTGGATTTTTGAATCGGCCACTATCCGATAATGCAGTTTTACTTTCAGGAAATAACATGTATTTTCCCTGGAATAAAGCTGCATTATCAGATATTTCTCTGTTAAATAAAATCCACCCTCAATACACTAAAGTTGACGTCCATGATTTTCGAAAGGGTTTAATCTTTCGTCGCGTTCATGTCTTCGCATTCCACGGATAACTACCGTACAGTACCGTACATAGAGATTTCCTCCAGTAGAAGGGAAGGAAAAAGAAAAAAGGCAGCGTCTCTATCTGGGGGAAGACAAAACGTCCCTTCCAAAACTGCAGCTTCTTCCCTTTTGTCCCTCCTCTAAATGACAATGCGGATTAGGACCTTGTGCATCTACCCAATGATATGCTCGATGGCTCTCGTGATGGCAGGAGCCCCTAGGAGATGTTTGAACCTATAGTCTTGGGCGTTGGCCGATCGAATGAATCTGGACGAAACGCCAGAGTCCATGTGAATCCCACGCGGCCGAATGAAGGACCAATC